TAACATGAATTTAGGCACTAAATTTGAAAACATTGTGACTACAATTTATGATTCACAAAAGGCGAATATTATAATTAATGAGAGTACACGTGCTCAATAAAAATAGAGAAAGGAGTTAGGCAGGGATGTCCTATATCTCCCCTGCTCTTCATATTATCTTTGGAAACATTGCTTACATGAATTAGATAGAACCCAAGAATAAAAGGACTAAAAATTAAGAAAAAAGAATATAAACTCCAGTCATTTGCGGATGATATGGTTTTTTTCATAGAGGAATCAATTGAAACAGGTCAAAAACTATTGAAAGAGTTAGATCAGTTTGGGAAAGTTACAGGATTTAAAATCAATAGGGGAAAAAATGAAATTAATAACTAAAAATTTAACAGAAAAACAGAAATTAAAATTGGAAAGGATAATGGGATTACAAATAGTAAAAAAAGTTAAATACTTAGGAATTTGGTTGATGGCTCAATGCAAAACCCTAATGGAAAATAATTCTAATAAACTATTACAGCAATTCAAAAAAGATTTCGAGATATGGGTCAAATTGCAAATCTCCTTACTAGGGAGGATTGCCACTATAAAAATGAACATTCTGCCCAAATTTATTTACTTATTCCAAACAGTACCAATAAAAATACATAAAAAATACTTTGTGGAACTTAACAAGATAACTACCAAATTTATTTGGCAAGGGAAAACCCGAGGATAAACCTAAAGGCAATGCAAGATATGAAGAGCAGGGGAGGTATGGCACTCCCAAATTGGGAAATATACTATAGTGCAGCCTCCCTACTTTGGCTGAAAGAGTGGGTAAATCTGTCGAATAAAAAGAATCTTATTTCTAGAAGGCCACGACTTACAAAGAGGGTGGCATGCATTTTTATGGGACACTGGAAAAATCAGAATTATTTCCACAGACATATAATTAGAGACTCCTTATTGGCTGATTGGAATAGTTTTTTTAAAAAAAACATTTTTTTAAAATCCCAATCTGGATCTCAATGATGGAGGCGATGATACATCCAAATAATTTAGGTCCTGACAAAATGATAAAATACAAAGACCTTCTTGATGTGCAAGGAACATTAAAATCATGGGAAGATCTCCAAGAACAAGGGCTACAAGTAGACCGGTGGGCTTACCTGCAGTTTCAAAATAGATATAGTCAGGATAAGAAAACTTTTGGAATTTATGTTAAGCCACAACAATTAGATAAAATCCTATTAGGCCCAGATTTTTAAAAAAATGTAACTAAATTTTATAATTATTTATTAGAGATAGAATTAGAAGAGGAAGTAGTCAAAGGCAACATGATAGCTTGGAGTAGAAACATAGGACGTAGCATTACATTATTAGCATGGGAAAAGGTCTGGACAAGGAATAATAAAATTACAAAATCAGCAACATATAAAGAAAATGCCTATAAAATGTTTTATAGATGGCACCACTCGCCTTCGAGAATAGCAAAGATGTCTCCTAACATGAATCCCAATTGCTGGAAATGTAAAAAGAAACACGGAACGTTCTTTCACATGTGGTGGTCCTGCACTGAAACCCAAAGATACTGGCACAGAATAAAAAAAATGGTTAGAGGAAATAACGGCAGAGCAAATTGAATTAAAACCAGAACTCTTCTTATTAAATAAATAGAGAAATTTCTTTAAAAAGTCAAATATGTAATACTGCACATTCTTACTGCAGCCAGAATAACCTTTGCACAGTATTGGAAACAAGTAGATATTCCAACAGAGGAAATGGTTATTCAGAAAATAACAGCCTGTGCAGAGATGGATAAATTAACCTTAGCACTTAAGGAAAAAGAAACATCAGAATATTGTAGAAGCTGGGAATGCTGGTATGACTGGATAGAACAAAAATAGAAAATATATTAGTAAACACCATAAAATATGAAAGAGGTAGTAATTATATATTTGCAATAAGATGTATTTGTAAAGATGTCACCAATATTGATAACAAACAAGGAACCATAGACTGTCGATAATAGAATTGCTAGTTTTTTAAATGTCTTTTTTCCTTTTCTTTTTCTTTTTGTATGTTGTGTATGTGTTTGTTTGACATTTTAGTTGTATAATCAATAAAGTTTGTTTTTTAGAAAAAGAATTTTATGAGACACATCCAAGAAATCAAGTCGCTCTTGTCTTCCTGGATGCACAAAAGGCCTTTGACAACCTTAATTAGAATTTTATGAAATATCAGATCAATTTGATGGAATTTGGTGGTAATTTTGCAAAAATGTTAAATTCAATTTACACCACACAGAAGGCAAGTGTAATGATAAACGAAGAAATTACTAAATCATTTGAGATAAAAAAAGGTGTCAGAAAGGGATGCCCATTATCGCCTCTGCTCTTTGTAACAATATTAGAAACACTATTGGACAGAATTAGATTGAACAAAGAAATTAAGGAAACAAAGATTAAAAATCAAGAATATAAATTACAAGCATTTGCAGATGACATGGCATTTGTCATACAAAAGCCAATAGATTCAGGACCAATGCTATTAAATGAAATTGATAAATTTGGTAAATTAGCGGGGTTGAAAATCAATAAAGAAAAGACTAAAATGTCAAAAACTTAACAAATAATAGACAAAAAGAATTAGAGAAAATAATGGGATAACAAATTGTAAATAAGATTAAATTTAGGCATGTGGTTAAGACCTAGAACTTCAACCCTGAAGGAAGACAATTACACCAAAATACTACAACAAATTGGAAGGGATCTGGAAAATTAGAGCAAAATGCAAATCTCATTATTAGGTAGAATAACTATGATCAAGATGCATGTTCTACCCAAACTGTTATTCTGATTTCAAATGATCCTGATATTATTAGATTTTTTTTTCAAAGAACTGGACCAAATTATTATGAAATTTATTTGGTTAGGTTAAAAAAAAAGAATTAAAAGAATTTATCTACAAGACAAGCAGAGGTGGCTTTGGACTTCCTGCCTGGGAGACCTATAGAGCGATGGCACTAGTATGGATAAAGGGTTGCATTAAATTGGAAAATAAAATAATTTTAACATTAGAGGCTATGATCTACAAATAGGGTGACACGCATTTTTGTGGAACCCAAAGAGTAAAAGCCATTCATATTTTTATAGAAATACACTGGGTAAATCTCTGATTAAAATATGGACAGTTATTAGGAGGAATCATTACACTAAAATTCCGAGATGGTTATCAACAATGGAGGCAATGTTTCATTCCAACACAATGGATATCAGTAAAAAGCTTAAATATCATCAAATTTTAGACAACAAAGAATGCTTAAATAGATCCAAGAATTAGAAACTCAAGAAATAATTATTGATCATTGGTCCTATTTCCAAATAACAATGAGCTATAATAGGGACTTAAAAGAATTCGGACTAGAAACAAAAAACACTCAATTTCATAAAAAGCTTTGGGCCCAGAAAAAAATATGATATCTAAATTATACAATTACCTATTAGAATATGAATTGGCTGAGGAAATTGAAATTGTGAAAGGACCTATGTTAGCATGGACAAATTGTTTTGGCCATAATATAGATCTAGATGATTGGGAAGAAATTTGGCAAAGAAAACTCACTTTAACAAAATCAGTATCCTATAAAGAAAACCTATATAAAATGATATATATATGGCATCTAGCACCATATAGACTAGCAAAAATATACACAACAGCAAACTGAAGCTATTGGAAATGTAAGAAAGAACATGGTACCTCCTTCTATCTTTGGTGGAATGTCCAGAAGTTAAATTTTTTTGGATAAGGATTAAAACATGGATAGAAGAAATTACTCAAAGTGGATTGGAGTGGAAACCTGAAGTGTACCTTCTGGGTATAATTAAAGGGGAGTACTTGCTCAAAGTAAAGTACTTGATTATTCACATACTAACAGTGGCACAAATCTTGTTGGCACAATATTGGAAATGCCCAATTTACCACCTATACATGTTATTGTTTAGAAAATATATGAATGTGCCAAAATGAAGAAGCTCACGCTAAACCTAAAAGGGAAAGATGATTCTGAATATTATTCAATTTGGGAGAAATGGTACAACTGGATAGACCGTAAGAAAAAGAATGTACAAAATAAATGAACCTAGGGAACATATTATTACATATATGTCTAATGACAGGAATTTATAAAACAATAGTTTTACTCCTCTTTCTTATTGAATAAGTTATATAAAGGATTTATTTACAAAATAACACTGTTATAATCCAATAATAACAATAGATTAATAGATAAGAAAAAAAAGATAATATTTAGTTTACAAGGGATAAGGAATATTTGCCATTTAATATCTTTTAGGAGTTACTCAAATCACTATCAAATGTGCTAGAGAGAAATATGATTTGTTTCAATGTTTATTTCTATGATTATTACTTTTTATTTTTGTGTATTTGTATATTTTAATCTTATATACTAAATAAAATATTTTTTTAAATAAAAAAGACAGCAACAAAATAATGTGAAGACTGCCTTAAATATTATTGAATGCTTACAATATCATAATGAGAAACAGAACAGAATAGAACAGAATGGAATAGAATAGAATAGAATTATAGTAATGCCTTCTACACATATTTACACCTCTATTTCACTATATGGATCTAATGACTTTATTTTTTTGTCTTGTGGCTCATGCATTCCTGCCTCTGCAAGTCCTCACATGTTTCAAATTTGTTCATATATGTGACTGTCTCACTATCATTATGAAATTAACCAATTCATCTCCCCAAAATCCTATGGGACTCTATGAAAATAGGACCAACTAACAATGAATAATGGTATTTAGTGTCCCCATCCTATTTCACCTCATGGCTGGGAGCCCCAAAGCTCTGTCTGCTAATTTGTTAATATGTTGCACTCTCTAGTTTTGTCTGAAAAATGTTTCCAGAAGGCAGATCTGCCAAATCTACTTCAAACATCATGTTGCAGAGAGAGGCATTTGTACACAGAAAGAAGACACTCATGGAAGATGTTGATATTTGCAGAGTTGCTGTTGATAGTATTGCCTGAAGTGGAGTGCCTTCAATGTGACTTTCAGGAGCCTCTTCCTATTCGGCACATCTATCATCAGCTTGGAGACATTAATATTGCTGGCATTATTTCTGCCTTCTTTGCATCTTCTAGTCCCATTGCTTTCATTCAAGATCCTTCTCAGGCATTTCATGGTGGACATGTAAGTACATCATTAATTTATTGTCAAATTCTAAACTTTGTTGGTAAATCACATAAAGCTTGAAATATTTTCCTCTAATGACAAAAACTCCAGAAAAAAACCATCTAAAATAGGATGTCTAGGTTTATTTTATGTAAAATTATACTTCACATCAAGTTTCCAAGTAAAGTTAAAATAGTTGAAATAGCGATCAAATCTCCATTTATAACAAAATACATATTAATATCTATTAATATATAGGTATGTTTGCTTATATTTATGAAGCTGTAACTACAGTTAAGGAAGGAAAAACACATATTTCCCATGATAATTTTCCTCATTGATATTTCTGGAACCAAAAAGTAGCCATTTCCTTTTGCATATATTAGTAGAAGATAGAAATAAGAATTATTAAACACATTTTACAAAATATGCTGTACTGAAGGATTGCAAGGCACATAATGTGAAACAAACCTTTCTTACTGTGATGTTTTATTTTGCTTTACATAATAGTTTTTCAAAATTACCAGCATATCCCGACCTTAGTTTTTACTGTAAAAGAGATTAATGAAAATCTCCAGATTCTACCCAATGTCACAATGGGCTCCCATATTTTTAACAGCAATTTTAGTCCAAGTTGGACTTACTTTGCCTCAAT